CTTACTACCAACATTTGGACTACGTACAAAGGCACAGCGACTGTTTTGTAGCGTTCGAAGAGGGCTGCCAACCGGGCGCAGTAGACCTGTCTATATCTAAGAGATTCTCTCACCCTTCCCAGCCTTCTCCGTACCCCCACAATCCGTACCGCAAGACAAACCGAAGGCCGTTGTAGAATGTCAGGATATACTTAACTGGAAGTAGTTGCCGTGAGTAAACTTATCCCAGCATCCAAATTCTTTATGGACGTGGGGACTTTGAGTAACTCAATTAGTTTCGATACCCTCCTGGCGAGCATTGTCCGAAGGGACTGATATGGCGACGAGTCAATATCTGCTTTTCTTGAGGGCCTTGAACCTTGCCTTCCCGGGGTTAGCTTTGTCAGCAAGTATGTAGTATATTGTGGGATATGATTAGCGCTTCACTAGCTATCACTGTCCCGTTTGATTTTCCAATATTCTTCTTCATTGCCAGCGTCATTACCGTCGTCTTGATCATCACGTGTGTTCTTGAATGCGTATCTTTGATGGAGGCGGAGACATCTTAGCTCAAATTCTAAAAGTTGCGACTCAATCTCGGCTCTGCAAACCCTAATTGAGAGCTGAGGGTCTCAGGAGGGAGTGTGAGGGTTTATTGTGCAGCTTGAGTCAGACAGTCTAGAAGATTGAGCTCCTCTCTAACCCAGGCCACACCTTGTTCAGTGCTCCTTGCCTCTTTTGCTACTTCAAAGATCATTGATATATTGCCCGTGATGAATAGCCATTCAGCTCAGTATTTACCCGTGGAATTCGGCCACCTTTTCCACGGAATCTTCTACCCAAAAAAAATGGTAGCAATGGAAACTGTGTGCGCGGGAAAAAGTCTCAAAAAACCTGCAGCCCCAGCCAGGCGAGGCCTAGACATCGGGACCACATGAGGTGCGCATATTCATCTATATCTCCCTTCTTTGTAACAGTCGAGGTCGACTTGATCCAGTCCACCATCTCCGTATCGGGTGCTGGGTACGCTCCGGAAACTCATCGGATGGCTTTTCCTCCATGATCGAGGGTTGGTAACGAGTGGGGCTTCGACCCTACCATCCGATCTGATCGCGGTTAGCTTCATGATAATGGTGATGGGGGAATGTGTTGAGAGATGAAGACGATACAGGCCGCGAAAACGATTGGGAATCCTTGTCGAAGTGATGATTTTGTTACTCAATCTCGGCTCTGCAGACTCAACTGTGAGAGCTGGAGGTTCGTAGGGGACACCACTGACAGGTGTTGAAAATAGTCCCCCGCCACACATCTAGAAATATAGAACTTTAATCACAATTATCTATCCACCAAACATCAGTAGACTTCTTCGTATAGGAAACCCATTCATCATATCTCTAAAACAATCTCAAGGCTAGTATGTAACTCTTCCAATCTCCAGAACTATTTCAATTACCACAACTATGACTATGTGCCCATTCCTGTATGTGAGACCTCTAACTAATGGTCAAAATGGTCACATTTTCTCTCAATATCCGTAGAGAATGCGGCTGGTAGGCCAGCAAGGACAAAAACAAAAAGCCTAGCTTGCCATAAATCCTCCTCCATCTAATAACTCCCTCATTGGTAGTCTATCCTCACAGTTCTCGCAAGCTTTTAATCCAACTACTGTACTATCTGTGGGCTCTGTTGTAGCGGAAGTTGTAAAGAGTAGCTTAAGCTGTGAGACTTATGTTTAATATCACCTAGTGAAGCGAGTTGAAAGATTCAAGAGTCTGAAAACTATAGTGGAGAGTTGTTAATTAAGCCCACTTAGTATCAAAGCGCTCTTTAAGCTAGTAATTACATCTGAGTGAAGGACACGATTAACTTGTTTATGCTAAATAATTGGGAGGCTGGTTAATGTATGAGTCGCTATGATGGAAAGATGAAAATTTATTCGTGACGGGCACAAGCCCTGCACTCAAAGAACATGACACGAAGAAGACTAGCTTCTCCGGTGACTATATACGACGATAACTCAGTTTAACATTTGGACTACTCATGTAATGGGTGCATTCGCTGATATCACTCGAGACCTTGGTGCTCGGGAATTTCATCCTTCCCTCAACCGTTAATATCCACCAAAGGGAAGATAGGAAAAACCTTTGGCTACCCTAACATGCCTCTGCCATCTTGTATATATTCAGCGCGCGAGATATGGCCTCACAGTCCTCCCTTTTTCGCGTGAGGTAGGTTTCCAGACTACCCAGACTTTAATTCGGGGAGATGATGACCAGGAGGCAGACCAAAACACCTTCCATCGTTGCCTGTTTTTAGAGTATCGGTAGCACTATCCCAAATCGTTGCTTCTGCACCAACAGACAATCTTTAGTCGAAGACACTCGAAAAATGTGCGTCCAAGCATACCAATTTGTGGCCTCTTCACTCGTTCGTCCCACGTCCCAGCTGCCTGTCATCCCTCAAGATATGAAGCCCCATTAGAGCAAAGGTCCCCCATTGACCAAGACCCGAGCTTTGTAGATTATGACTTGAGTTCCTCCTCGCGGATATACATAGCATCGTAAATGTGTAGTAGGAGATGGCCGGTTTTTGATGAGGCAAATGCCCGAATGCAACTGGAGTAACGCCATTAACGGTATTTCATGCGAGGTGGTGTGGTGAGATTGAGGTGGAGGACTCGCGTGAGAATAATAGGTCGGACATTGACGAGAAGTCGTCGATTTTAGATGTGCTTGCGACTGCTTTCGATTTCGATTTGGATGCGATTCTTCTTGGCTATCCCAGATATGCAGAGCATACTGAGCGATTACACCGGCACCACTGGAAGGTGAAGAATTCGTCTTTGCCGGCTATCAGTCGCCATAAACTTGGCAAGTAATATTTTTAAATCATCCAATATGTATTGAGCTATAAAACTATGACACATAACCGGTACAATGTATACATATTGGATGACTCTTTTGACGCTGGAGACACTCATACTCTGGATTTCATTCGCAAATACCACTGTGAGGTATGCTTGCTTACACAAACAGTCGACCCTCCTCCGCAAGTACCCACCAAAGGGACGTTTCAACACCTTTGGTTATCCAAGCATGCCATCGTCATCCATGTATACCAGCACCGCGAGAAATGTGGTTGTGCTTTACCGGATTTGAACCAGCGATCTCCTGTCTCGAGTGGGATATGTGACCAAGCTATCTAGACTTTACTTGAACGACCGGCGAAGAAGATATATCACCGCACCATCCAACCATGACTGTGTTTATAATGTCACCTGTACTCTCGCAATCGAATCCTTGGCATGCGAAAAGCTCAATTTGTAAAAACTCCTTGCCAAACTCGAAATTCCACGCCCGTCGAGACTGAATCCATCCTTCGCATCATCTTGTGAACTTGTCCTGATCCCTCTCAAGTTTATCGCAAAGAACTTTCTCCCAGATTTGTGCGCCACGCTTTGCTTCCTCCGTCGGATGTAAATATCGGCATCGACGTGTATTGGTGAGCAGCTGGGGCAAGAGAAAGTCGACGAGAGGTGTGGCCATCGGGATGAGGATGAATTAGGTCGTACTTATAGACTTGATGAAACTTGTGGAGAATTCGATCTCTTTGGTAATGAAAAATTGATGTGGAGTAGTTTGAATCATTGCCTCTAGGGCCAACTTGTTCGTTATTGGGTAATTTGACTGAACTTGGACCTGGGAGAATATTTCACTCCCAGGCTCGTACAGGACACCGCATACAGGTATTCAGTGTTGCCCTCCGTAGCTAGTAATACTAGAACCTTATTACGTTCCATGTTAGTGCGACTCTTCATTGCCAAGTAGCGCCAGTTTTAATAGGCTCAGTATCTAGGTTTGCTCCTCTGGGTAATCTCGATGAATCACTTTGAGAGGTTGAAACTCAGTTCGAAGTAAGCATAGAACTACAGTTCTCTGTTTCCCAAAATCAACATCAGTAGAACTAGCCCTGATCACGAGGGTGCCCTCGCCATAGGGTAGTAAATTGGGCTCACAAAGATTTTTACGACGGGTTTAAATGAACCAACTTAACCTTTTATTAAAGGAACAATCCTTCCATGGAATCACTGTTGGATAGGAATATGATTTTTCTTTACTTAGTGTGAAAATTTTTGAAATTTCCATATAAAACACGCTTTCTGTTGGAGGAATTTCATATATCTTGCAGAAATATATGTACCTTTTCTGGTAGAGGGGAATTTGCATTAATAAATTAGAAACTAGGTCGGTGGACAGCTGGTCGGGCTGTTTATAGTTTCTAAGTGTTGCAGGGCACGCCAGGTCGTCAGGTAGTTTTTGTGCTTGGGATGGCCAGGATAACGATGCATAAGGGTAATGATCACTGAGGGTGAAGGAAGAACTTTCCAGGTGATTCTATGATAAATAGAGGAACAACGGAGAAATGTGTGGAAAGTGTCTCTAGATTATACTACCAGATGGGGAGGACTACAATATTTCGTGATACTGAATTGGGAAAATAAGGCGTGGGTCTAGTTGCCTTAGATGTGTATATGACTAGCATTTTCTACATTTTAAATCCTCATAGTTCTGAATAACAAATAATGAGCAGTTCACATTGATCCACCAATAATCATCCATAAACCTTCTGCCAATAAACCTCTGAAAGCTCTTACCTCTACAATAGTAGTTCTATAGGGACCGGGCCGTCCGGTTCGTGACATAATCACGAGCTGTGCCGTGGTACGACGTTAAATTAAACTCTCACAATATCTTCGCATCTTGCCTAACCAAGTGCTTTCTACAGTTTCACGACGTAAAAATAATGCCTCTTTGAGTCCTTGACATCTGGTGGCGTCATCGCTTTCCTCAACAGCAAGATGGTATGACGTAGCTGAGACTTCGGGATAATGAAAAGTTTCGATGCCTACTGTTTTCTCATCGTTGTGATTATACCCTTCGAAATTTTTGACATGAAATCTTCCCACTGAAAAGCAAAGATATTACCGTAGAAACAAATCCCTTAAAGTCGAAATTCTCACGATGAGCGGCAACTCTAATGTCGGCAACTCCCAAATTTATGAGGCAAATGAACAACGAAATATTTCACAAGCCACAGCCATTCAGAAAAAGAAGGACGCAAGATATGACGAAGGAAAACAGAATAGCCACAAATTAAATGATAGTAGTAAGTGAGCATTAATTCCTCTGAAGCGGTCAAAATTTGACGACTTCAGAGGATCAACAATCTATAGCTAACAAACTCGCCCATGAGATTAAGGTTTGTCAGCAAAGCTGATTCTAGCAAGAATTACCTACAAATAAGTCAACTGATTAAGCTCTCATAGAATAAGAAAGTTAGTGACAAAGGGCAGTGTGACGAGACAGAGCTACTAAAAATAGATCCCACTCTCCCGGTGAGTTAAAGGCTATATAAACTCAGAAATTACTATCGGGATTAATAATTCCTTTGATGGCTATGATTAAGACAAAATCTAACACTTTGAAAGGCTACAATTCACAACAACAAACCTAGCAAGGGCGCTAGAATAGATGCAGAAATTCAGGCCGAGGAACACGAAGAGTTAAGAAGAAAGGGAAAAGCTTGAATTAAAGGTCTGGTTTAGTAGGGGTAGCATGATTCTCAAGAACTGTGGAAGTAATCATTATTCATTAGTAGTTAGCATGTAATAAATCCAGCTAGATTTAAAAATAATCCCTATTTTTTATATGACACAATAGCTCATTTCTAGAACAATCAGTCGCACCACTAGTTGATAGACTTCTAGCTAGCTTGAAGAAAATACTGGCTGAATGTAAGTTTGTAGTACTGCTGTAAAACTAGGTCACGTATAGATAGTGTCGGTTTATCTAAAACGTAAAAGTTGATTTGTCATCATGTGGGGATCATATGATGACTTCAGCATGGATGCGCTAGCCAGGATCCACAGTATAGCTGTGAGTTGGATGGAAATATGTATCCCTATTTTCTTGCTCTGCAGGTGTAATTTGAAACAACTTGTAAAAAACAAGTGAAGTTCCCGGTAGAGGGAAATTGGCAATATTTAAATTGGAAAGCAGAGTGGCGGACAGCTGTTTGTTTTTTATTATTTACTTTTGGTCCTAAGCTAACGCTATCTTTTCCACATTGGGTCAAGGACCGGTGGAGCCGGCAAGGATCACTGCGTACAGGCCCAACTCATTCCAACCGCATGAACTTATACTGAAATTGTAGAAGTTAACAGCAAAACTAAAATCAAAAACATAAATCAAAAACTGAAATCAAATTTGGAAGAAATACTGTTTAGTCCGGATCCCGCGCTTCTCGCCCGTTCCCTTTCCTGCCACATCTTCCAGGTGACTTTTTCTTATCTCCGCTGATGTCACGGATCAAGGAACAGGCGCTGGTGCAACTATGTGGTTAATAGTATGTAAATTATTATTCTGAAGAGAAAACTACTTCAGTCTCTATCTATAAATATATATACATTGTCTATGTGGTTGAGGCACAGCCCTTCCCTCTCGGTTCCAATGGGATTCTTCACATGTGTTGTAGCTGTATGGTCCAATACTGCTGCCCTGCCAAACTAGATGCCGATGCCTTGATATTCTGCTGAGTGGCATTATATATCCACGCATTGATGTCGATCAATCGTGCGCTACCAATATCAGGCTAGGCTCATGTTGGCCAACATGCGCTACAGGAACCAATCGGCTTACCAGCCGTTACAGCTGAGAGCGAAAGACTAGTTCGCAGATACCCTGAATTCAGCTGGTATCCTGCTATATATATTGAAGCTTTTTGTAGACTTCACCGAGGGTTGCTGTACCCTCAAACTTCTTCTTCGGATCCCAGGATTCCGAAACCCGATCCCTCGGCCATCGAGACATCCTTCGTTGAGGCCATTGTTGCCTCTTCGGCCCTTTTGGCTGCAGCCCTAAATCGAGCCACTTTCGCGAACTCCCCTAGCTGGATCTGGCGGATCCACGCGAGCTGCTCTTTTGTCACCGGTCCGGACTTGCTGGGTCTGGCTAAGCAGGCCCGGGAATCCGATCGGTGAGGTCCCCCACATTTTCGGCACCGGGTGAGGGCCTTGCACTCTGATTCTGAGTGCATATTAGATCCGCGTTTCCAGCAAGCTGGAGCGCGGGAAAAACCAAGGGTGGCGTGAAATTCAAGACACTGTTTGCATTGTTCGATTTTGCGACGAGGTCGGAAGAGCTTTGCAGCTCCAGAGTCGTCGAAAAGGCGGAATCCAGGTTGAGGAGCGGATTCTCGGGGAAAGAGCGCTTGCCAAATTGAATAGGGCGCCCCTGGTTTGCTAGTCCCATGAGGACGAACCAGAAAGGGAACCAACTGGGTCACTCGCGTGACTTCGTTAGCAACCATCTTTGCCGTCACGGCGATTGGGCCAGCAAGAGTTCGAATTGTCTCCGGGACGGTGGCAATTTGCATGGCAACCAGTTTTGATGCTGGTTCCAGTTTGGTTCCAGATTCGCTCCGTGATGTGGAGGAATCTAGGAGCTCTGTTCGAGCGAGTTAATCCTTTGCGGTTATTGCAAAGCCGGTCTTTACCCGCTGAACGAACGTGATATTGTTGGCAGCGGTTCCCAGCACCTGAGACACCGCTATCCTTACTCCAGCTGGAGAAAGGAGACGGTGGGGATGGAAATAGTCAAGGCGGAGAAAAAGTCGTGAATCGGCATTTCCACTCGAGTTGGCACTTTTTGCTTTCTGGGCGGGTGGTGCTGCCTTTTTTGTCGATGGCCCAGCGCTGCTGACTAAGCCTGCCCGAGCTACAGTGGCCCAAGTTGTCTTTGGGGCCGGAGCCTGGGTTTTCGTAGAGTTAGGTGCCCTAATTTCTGGAGCCCTCGGTGAGAGAGGGTTGGCGGGGCGGGCAGGAAGGACTGGTGGTGTGCTTCCTGGACCGGATTGAACGAACTGACCAATAGCTGCTCGTAGGTAGACTTTTATACCGTCTACGAATTCTTTATTTTCGCCGATCGAAAGAGGCGAAAGTGCTGCTTCAACACTGTTTATCGCAGTCGAGCAGATGGCGAGGCGGACCGTAATTTGCGTCGTACGTCGCTTTTCGGCCTCCATCACGGTTTGCAGCTCCGGAGGAAACTCCGTAGCTGATGTCGATGCTGCGCTTTTTGAGGCTGGCACAGCATTTTTCCCGGCAGACGATTCTGCACGTTCGGTCGTCCTTTTTCTGACGACCTCCTTTCCTTTCCTGGAGCTGCTTGCCTCGAGGGCCAGCCTGGCGGGTTTCGCAGTCTGTTGACTGTTCGTTTCTGTTCTGATCGGATCAGAATCAGTCATCTCTTGGTCGGGAAGGGTAGAAGACTTCCCTGGGATAAAGGCCTCACTCGCAAATAAGCTTGATAATTTTTGCGCGAGGCCAGGAGGTTTTGGACACATGTGTGTCCGTTCAAAGCCGACAGAAATGGTCGACTTTGGTCGTTTGCTCTTCATCGGAGGCATTTTGGGACGCCTTTCGATGGTCATCAATTCGAGAACTCAAGCACAGGAATAATCATGAGAAGGGAAATAGGGAATTTTCGAATTTCTCGAATTGTGCGTTTTTTTATTCATTAACGTGCTAGGTGAATCAACTACCGCTGCACTCCTACTGGAACTTGGGCATGAGTGGGGTCGGGCCGGATTAGGTTAACTACCGTACAGTACAAATGCCTTGTCCCACCTAAATGACTGGAACCATGCCAAAATGCATCTATGTGTCAAATCATAACAATTTCAGCAGCCCAGAATTGAAAACAAACGAAAACTTTCAAGCGAAATCCCACATTACAAAAGAAATAACAGATACAATCTCCTTTCCGTCGCTCTGCCTCAGCCACCACGCGCCTGAGCCTCGATTCCTATTCCTCTTTCCATGCCAAACCACCCAGGCTTTCGTTCTATCACCTCCGGGTCGCAGGTATTCCCACCATCCCCCGACTAGCCTCTGCGTATATTACGCTCTCCTGGACGTAGTCTCTGAACAGCTGCCATCCATTTGATCCGAGCAACGTTTCCAGAGCTGGTGCCCTTCGCTTTCCGCTTTTCAGCCGCCATGTTGCCAGTGCTTTTCGACACTGGACAAGGTGACCAATTGATTTTTCCCTCCCACACTCGCAGTTAAGTGTAGCGTCAGTGTGGTTGAAGCGGCGATGATATGTTGCAAAGTCCCCATGTCCAGTTTGGGCAGCGATCAAGCGTGCGAAGACCGCTCTGGGTAGCGCTAGCTCTGGCGGTTTATTGCGGCGCATCTCGAGCTCAAGGTCGGCGAAATGTTTAGGCCGATTTGAATGCCACCAGTCCGTCAACATCAGCCTGGCCACTTCACGGGCTTTCCGTCCTGTTGAGGCGAGGGTCATCACACCATGTGTCGTCCTAGAGTTTTCCGGCGAGTTAAGCTCTCTTCGAGCGAGTTCATCGGCGATTTCATTTCCTGCCAGCCCTTTGTGGCCCGGAATCCATCCTATTTTGACAGGCGCGGCTGATCCCGCGGCCAGTTTCACGAACTTTTGGATACGCCAGGATGATGAGCCCGTTGTTCCCGTCAGTAAAGCCTGAACAGCCGCAGAATTGTCGAGAAGGATGCGGATAGCGCTGCGTCCTCGATCTCGATTGCTGGCAGTAATTGCTTCTATAGCAGCCAAAGCTCCATGGACCTCTGCGTCGTAGACCTCCGCATAGGTAATTTTGCCTGAGCCGCTTTGCTCGATTGTCGTACCTGTGCCACTGATAAAGGTCACAAAGGCCCATGACACTCTGTCGGTTGAAGCCCCAGAACCATCACTGTAAACGCAGAGACAGTCGGGTGGGAGTGTCGGTAGCCACTCTCCTATGAACTTGGCAGCCTCTTTCTTGCTTGTCCAGCAGGGAATTGGCTGAGGAGGGACCGGAGGTCGGAGCGGTGGAGGTAGTTCAGCCTCTGGCAGAAGTCGATACATCCTCTGGACCCTCGAATTATGAACTCTGTCCAGACCAAGTCTGGTTTTGTTGCATGTCTTTAGTCCGAGTCGGTGGCGAGCGCTGTCTGTGCTTTCCGTGGCCCGAAGTCGAAGCGGGTGATAATCATCCAGTCTCCGGATTCGTGCGGCAGTCTTGAGCCTGCGTTCCTCGAGCAGAATGTGTGCTGGCGGAATACCAGTCTCCCTTCTCAGGGCTGCGATGGGCATGGTGCGCCAGGTTGGTAGAGCCACGCGGATTCCAAAGGCAGAAGTTTGGTCAATAACTTTGCACTGTCTCTTACATGAATTTCGCGCGAAACCCCGATAGGTTTCCCTGGTTGGCCCCGGGTACCAGGATTCCGCTGCGTGCATCGCGATTGGCAGGACTACCGTGCGGATCACTGTGGTTAGTAGGTCGGGCCTTGGTCCCTGGGTGCACTGAGTGAGCCGTCAGAAGTGTTGCACTAGCCACATTGCTTTACTGGTCCACTTTGCGACGTGGCTTTCGAAGGTCAGACCGCGATCAAGGTGTACTCCGAGCCATCGGATATCGTCGGATGCTTGTACATCGCGAGTGCCTACCCTTATAGCCGGAAGATCGTGAGCCCTGGATCTGGGGCCGACGAAGTAGACTACTTCGGCCTTA